TTTTATCAGCTGTTTTCTTGCAGGCACTTTGTTCCACTGCCATTGCCGCTCTCCCACAGCAGGAGGTCTTCTGCAGTGGCCTTGTGCCGCTTGCATTGCAAATACTGAAGCCTTTCATTGAGATAGTGCTTTATTTCCCAGCCCTATTAGGATGCATCGCTTTTCTCTACAAACCTTGCCTTGCAGTCAAATGCTGCTTTGCTTAATCTTGTCTCGAGCTACACAGATATTTTTCAGCAAAACAAAGCACTGTTGCAAAGTACTTGCTTGTTCTGTCAAAACATCTCAGTTTGAAGACACGTTCTCTCAAAGCGTGGGGTTGGGAAGCTCTTGCCCTGATCAGGGCTTTCAGGATTTCCTCCCTCCCTCCTCTGCAGGCAGGATTTGGAGCACTGTCTTGTGCGAGGCCAGCAGGTCGCGTGGCCGCACCGAGCCGTGCGGGCAGACTGCCTTTTGTGCCGCGGGGTGGGAAGCAGGAGCTGCCTGCCTCTCGCAAGTCCCCGGCGTTTTAGCCTTGGCACGTGCAGTGGTAGTGGAAAGATTAGCAAGTGGCTCAAAGAGTCGCCCTCTCTTCTCTGCTGATTCTTAGGAGATAAAAGTTTCTATCACCTTTAGAGGCATTGTACAGATGCGATATTAGACATTTATTTTCCCTAACAGTCTCATCTCATAAATCATACATATCCCCATGACTTCAACACCAAGTTAAGTCCTGCATAAAAACAGAACGAGATCTCAATATTTCCCTTCATTTTACGCTAACATGCAGAACTTCTGCTACAGAGTATTTATTTGTAACTACTCACTGAACAAAACAGTAAATATGTGTACATAGTTTTTCTGGAGGAAATATGTTGATATTTGTGCAAATTTAAATATATATTTTAAAATCTATATCAACATTGTGTGTGTGTGTGTGTGTATTATTTCTGTTCTATCATTCCATTTTCATGTTTACAGGACTATTGGGCTGAGATGCTGGATGCTGGCTAGCATCCAGAATGGTTCTGAATTTGGCTGGACTAATTAGGGAGGGAAATTAATAAAACAGAGATATATATAAGTATTGTTGCATGTCAAATTGCGTCGTGTGGGCTTAATGTATTTTCATTAAATAGACTGCCAATATATAAGCCCTGTAATAAGAGATTTGCAATTTCCAGTAGAAGTAGCATGCTAACAGGTATAAAAACCTTTCTTTAATGGCGCTGCAGTATGTTAAGAGTGCCTTCTCCTACTACGTTCACTGCATTGCTGAAAAGAACAAAGTATTAGAAATGAATCACTGTAATAATTGTGGTCAATGCATTACCTCTTTAAATTCATGTTCAGAAGCTACCTTGTTGAAAAACTCCTACAGAAACTCCTAATATACATTTTCTTTTTTTTATGAACAGAGCTAAAGTAAAGCTGTTTCACTGGAAAATGTGTGGATAGCCTTCCATGAGGACTGCTAATGCTAGGTTCATCCCCCATGAGAGAGGGAGGGATTTACCCACATTCAAATGCATATTAAAGCCGCAAAACTCTTGACAAAATGTCTGAAAACTGTTTCCTTAATAATAGTGGATTGGCCAGATTGCTTTTGGCTGTTATTTCCAAGCATCCCTATTTGAACATGGGCCAGAATGGACCCACCTCTCCTAGTGGGGGACCTTGGAATAAGACTGTAGTTGATGAGATGCCATTTTGTTGTGATGACTCAATTGCTCAAAAAGTAGGATAGAAAATCCTCGCATTTCATGAGGAGACAGTGAGGGAGGACCAAGCCCGCAGAAGGAGTAGCAGCACCTTTGCAGTCCTGGGTCCCCTAGTCCAAACCAACCTAGCCAAAGCAGACTGCAGCTTCCTTCGGTCCCAGGCACCCAGGTTTCTTTCTCAAAAAAAAAAAAAACAAAAAAATAAGAAACAGGAGAAAATGGGCTGCAGAGCACACCTCTGTCATCTTGAAATGCTTGGGAATGGACTGCTGCTCAATTTAGCTGCTCTCAGTATCCTTCACTCTCTGTGTCATAAGGCTTTAATAAGTTTTTCTTTCAGCTTGCTTTAGTTCTAGTTTCACTGTGCTTGACTGTGGAGTTTGCTGGTGTTATTTATAGGATTGTGGTGGTCTTTGCACCTTCTGCACTGCGTGCTAGTGAGGTCAAGTCTCTGCTCCTGCAGGCATACAGCAATGTCTAACCTGCACTTGTTCAGCTTCCCATTTGTTTGTTTTTGGCCTAGACCTCTCTTTCAGCTAACTCACCCATTGCTTCTTAGGCTCCTTGGTTCTTCCATTTAATTTCTCTTACATCATCCCTCTACAGGCACTTACTTTCTCTGTTTTGTAATTTTATGGAAATACTTGTTTATGCCGCCTGAAAGTCTGGAGGTCTGTCTGTGCCACCTTTCCCATTCCCCTGCGAAACATTTGAAAGAGGCTAGGGGAGCTGCTCCTTTTTTTTTTTTTTTTTGGACTTTGCAAAATGCTATTTTTGTCATTCCTAATTTAATTGATTGTTTTTCCAATTAGATTGAAGAGCTTTTGTGGTAAGTGTGACTGATATCAAGTTTTAGCGATGATTAATGTATATCCAGAAATTACATTAGAATTTCGAGGAACCTTTCTCAAAGAAGTGCCCTTGCATTTTTATTTCTATAACACTTATGCTTTCTGATATGTTTCTGTTCTTCTACACTTTTTTTTTTTGCCTCTGGCTTTTCTCTCTTGTACAATATGTATTTTCCCAAATGGGACTGGAATAACATTTTTTACTATACTGACAAGAACAGCAACACCTCTGTAGATCATCCTACAGCAAAGGCATGACAGAATAAATGATCGTAAATAAATCATCTTGCATGGTTTCCATGTTTCCAGTCCTTCAGTTCCTCTCTGCAAGGGCCAAGTGCTCTCACATGGCACTTGAGACCTAAAACAGATACTGACAGAACAGATGTGATTGTTGTTTTGCCTGCCAGATCTTAGGATATGAACCCAAATCCCAAGTGTATGAAAAAATCAGCTTGGGAAGCCACCAAGGATTGATGAAACTGCATGTTGCTTGAATTTCAATAACAGTTATGCCTGTTGAGCTCTTAATTATACATGTTCAAAGTGCTGTTGAGAGAGGTCAATTTGCGCATACAGATGAGTACTTTTTCGGTCACAGAATTCAAAGAGCATGTGTGGCTTTGTAGAAGAACATGGAACTGGGACTTAGGTGGCTTAAACTCTTCATATCTCTGTTTCCTATGTATAAAAGAGTAGTAACTACATTTATTTGCTAAAGTACATTTATTTGCTTTATATAGCATCCTGTATAATTTATACTGGGAGTCTTTGTGCCAGAAAGTTCAGCTGAAGCCTTCGCTACCATTGTAGATCTCTCTCACAAGAGGTCATGTTAGCTGGCGATGCAGAGTGACACTTACTAATATATAACCTAGCTTCCTGCTGCGTCACAGTCCCTGTCTTTTGCACGCACATTCATGGTCTCTGCATATGCAAGATCAGAGACAGAGGCATATCTGATGCTGTGTCTCATGTGCATGTCCTGTTACGTGTTTGCAGGGTGTTATCTCAGTGATCATAGAACAGGTGCTGGTACACGTGTTTTAAGTGTAGTGTCACCGAGCGCAAGTGGCTATGTAATGATATGTTGCTATCCTGTTGTTAAGTGTTCACAACCATCCAATAGTACAAGTGAATATGCAGTCCCCATTCAAAGGGTAGTACAAAAGATAAGCATGCAGATCAAGCAAAACATGGAAGGAGAAGACCCAACGGATGCACAAGTGTTTAGTGTTGTTTCTACCTTAACTGACGTATATTGTGGCATCAATTGAGGATTGTTATAGAGGGTTTTGAGAGGAAGATATATCTATTCATATGTTCCTGGTTGCTCACGCTAGCTTGTTTAAATGCTTAAAATAGAAAAAAGACTTGGTGCATGCATGCATGGATGTTGCATGCAAGGTTAAGTGAGAGAGAGCGATACTGATAATGCTGGCAGACACGAGCTACTAGAAGTAGAAATCGGTGGCACCAGAATACTGAAAATTTGATTGATGTCATTAGATCTACAGTTTTCCAAACTGTGGTGAAATAATTATGCAAGTAGATGCACATCTGATGTGTAACATTAACTAAAATATGTAGGCCATCAAATGCAATCAATGTTTTATTCTATCAAAATAAAATAGAACTATTTGTATTGAAATACTGCATTGACATGAAGAAAGACAGCTCACAAATCGAGACTTTCAGCTACTAGACAGCCATTCCCCAAGGGTTATTGTCTGGCCAGCAATATGGCAGTGCTGTACAAAATAGTTTGCTGCCTGAGTGGAAGGAAACAAGTGACGATTGCAGTGTTCAGCTCAGTTTGTTACTGTGGAGGTCACAGTCTTTGGCCATTGGGAGAAATGGACCTTCTCAGAAGTGTCAACAATATAAGCAGTAAGGGAATCTATAAATAAGGAACAACAAAAAAATATGCTTGTTAGAGAAGCAAATGTTTTGCCTTTTTATTACTAAATTAAATGGGGGAATAATTATCCCAAAATACTGTTTAATGCCTTTGGAGCCATCTGTCTGATAGTTAATGTTTAAAATTATTATGGAATATTTCTCAGTTTTCAGAATTTCAAGCATTTTAACAGAAATAGTAATTCTTATTTTTAATAACTAGCTCATTATGTGGTAACGTGGAAGCTATGTGAGTTCCCTGTTCTGCTACCTGTTTACTACCACTGAAAAGATGCAACATAGGAGTCACATTGGTGTGAAACAGCAAAATGTAACACTTCTCTAAAATATGGGTTTGACAAAGCACATTTTACTGGTTCAAATCGCCCTGTGTACAACTGGGAAGAGAGGTGTAGAACAGTCCTCAACGCTGAGAGCTGTCACACAGAGCAGGAGCTTATGAATCCTCAGCATGATCATCTCTGTAGTTGAAATGGCTTTTAACAGAGGAAGTTTATTAAAGCCATCATCTTTTTGGACGCTCTTGCAGGTGGGATTCCTTTTGTCCTGACTGGAGAGTTTTTTCAGCAGTCTCAAAGGCCGGCCGCATTCATGATAGCTGGGACAGTCAACTGGCTCTCCAACTTCGCAGTCGGACTACTTTTCCCTTTCATTCAGGTACTCGGCAGGTTTGATATTTGATATAGGATGATACAGTACAGCAGTATAGCTTATGATATTTGAATAGTAATTTTCAAGTCATAATAAAATGTCTTTTCAGTGAAGTGGATGAAATTCCCACCGTGTTTTTGATGCATTTCATTTGTGCATAGCTCTCGTTGCCCGAATGGCTCAGTTAGAGAAAAATTGTCACATAAAGGAAAGAAGATTGTAACCGTAGACAAATGTAAATGGCAAATTCCCCACAGGAGCACTTTAGCAATGCAGTCTGAAGGTTATGTCCAGGGATCACAGTCGGTGATGATGATTGTCGTTGGCTTTTTCTTAGGCCTTCAGGCTACCAGTTTTCTGGTTTGCCTTATGCTTTGAGAATCCTTATTTGCTTCATTGGGGAAGAAAGGGTCTCCTCCTCCTCCCTCTGTCTGAGCTTTTCTTCATGCCTCTCTTTCTTCTGTCGCTTCAGTCAAGCTTTAGCCTGGTCTCTCCTTTAGCTGATTTCTTCTAGCTGTGGCCCACTTGCTGCCTGGATGAATTTGATCTTGTCCCAGCTTTCTTAAGCTCACATAAGCTTTGCTTTTAGCAGATTACTTCTTTATGTCCTGAGAACATCTTAAGAGTGAAGCTCACAGTTAAAGGACAAAGTAAAAATTCATAATTAGTTGTTTAAAACGCACAGAGGAAAATATTGGCATAGGGGATGGGGGTGGAGGAGAATGAGCCCTCAAGACAACTTACAGGTTCTCACATCCACATGAGAGATTTTGGAACATTATAGTTCAAATCATTTCTGATTAATGAGATTTTATGTAAGGGGAGGGAAAGGGTTACTGCTCTTTGTGCCTTTTTATAATTGAAAATTGTGTGATGCTAAAAACTTCACACTGTAAACGTTTAGACAGTAATTTTCAGTCAACACATAGAACTGCTTTCACCAAGTAGTAGTGTTTAAAATTATCTTTAGGAGGTAATTTATGGATGAACTGGAAAGCACAATAAAGTTTGACCTAGTCTTGATCTAATTTTAACACTTGATCTAAAATTTCTGCTATAAGAAAAAAGTCTCTAGTCAGTTTGATTACTTGGATCACCTTCAAAAGTTAGCAGGAATATAAAGGCTGTCATCCTCCCAAACTCTGCTACCACTAACAGCAACTTCAATTAGATTGCTCAGAGCGATAAGTGTTAGGAGCCAGTCTTAACGCTTAGTGAAATCAGTGAGTGTTTTCCACCATTTTTATAGCTCATAGTAAGGTCTTGCCAGCTTAGGCATTTGAGATGAGATTTCCAAAAGCAGGTAGGGCTGACATAACTCTTTTCCCCCTGAGGCCACGAGAACACCTACTGATTTCAGCAGGGAAAGAATTAGACAAATATGCTGTGTTTTTGAAAGCCTGACCTTAATCATCAGTATCAGTATGGCCGAGGAGACAGCCAAAAGCTCGTCCAGCGCCTGGGTGCTTCTGTCTGGCGGTCCGAGCCCACCTCCGTGGCTGCGGCAGGAGGCAGGGGAAGCCCAGGGGCAAGTCTCCTCCTGCGCATACGCGCCAGCTGACAGCTACAGGTGGGGATTGCCACTAATGGTGCCCAAGAAGAGTTCCCAAACTGGGTGTAGCTGCAGCCATAGCTGGTGAAGCTCAGCTACTCTGCTATATGTAATCAGGATATTTTTTCATTAATTATTTATTTTTCTTTATCTATTTTCCAGAGACATTTAAGAAATAATAACATTTCTCCAGAACTGCAGTCTCATTCTCTAGCTCCTGGACAAAACCAAGGGGTTACTGAGCTCTGACTGCCAGTCAGATCTGAATTTATGCAGCTCAGGGCTCTCTCTTTAATGTAACCTTTAATTTTTATCTTTACAAGCATGTCTTGTATGTATCCTCCCTGTCCTGCTAGCCCCACCTGATAGGTCACCTGTTGGGAACTGTTTAAAAAGGCCCTAAGTAACTTCCTCAAACAAAATAGCAAACTACATTCTCTGTTTTTTCACACGAATATTAAAGCTTTCTGAGGGTTTCAGAATGCATCTGTATGAAGTTTGGTATTGCCTTGGGAAATTTTTCATTTTTCAACGTCAAAATTTCCCATTGCATGATGACAAGATTATCAGATTAGTTTTAATGAAGGGAAATTATATTTCCAACATTGCAGGGGTTTTGGTTTTCTCTTCTTTAAAAAAAAATAACAAGGAAAAAAGCTTGGAGTTTGCACCTAAAGATGAAAGCAGTGTTACTCAGGTTTTGACTTTTTTGAGCTTTTTCACAAGATCACTTTTTCCTGTTTCAGTCAGCCTTATTCTCTAAAGTAAGCTTATGAGTCACCTGTTTCTTTACAGAAAGGCAATAGACTCTGCTTAGCTCATTTTTTGTAATTTTAAAACAGCAAAAGATCTTTAAAATGCCTTTGCAGAATGAACAAATAATCCCTTCTATGTTTCTAAATGCTAATCTGATTGGTTGGGAGGCAGCAGCCACTTTTTGATCGTCGGTAGTCTTCTACAAAACTTATCCCAAACTTTGGGGAAACTAATGTGTTAATCTAGAGTTATTCAAAAAATCAGCGACTAGTTCGTTCTCTAAATGTTACCAATTGATTAGATTGAATGCCTAGATTTTCTCCCCCAATCCATCTGTAGATAAATGTAATAGAATAAAATACTGATTTGACTCATACATTAAATTGCATGGATGACATTGAAATTTTTGACAAATTGCAACAAATTTAAAATGTCTGCTATTCTAGTTCTTGTCACTGCATATTTGAGTAATTCGTTTGTGCAGAGTCCAACAGAAATTGAAATGACAGCCAATATTATATTGTATTCACAAGTGCATTTGATACTTTGTGATTACTAAGTGTCAGATACAGGTGTCAACAATGTGCACTTTTTAAATTATTTTTATTAGAATAATAAAATTGCAGAATCATTATTTCATGGGGTGTTAGGACACACAGAAATTACAAAAGATTTGAAGGTATTTCAGATGTGTTTAACACAGAGCTTGATCTTATGATAAGCTAAACACCTGTGTTGCATGATGCTCAACAATATCCTTTCCCATTGCCTTCACTTAAAAATGAAGGTATGAGATTTTCCTGAGCAATGAGCTCTGAAGAGACCAAGACAGCTTTGTAAGGTAACCAAGCCAGTAGGCCAGAGATGCATGAAACATGCATCATGAGGACAGCGTGACCCATCCTTTCAAAGCAGTTCAGTGCTCCTCCATGCACTAGAACTGCATCCTAACGCTTTGGAAGCCCAATCTGCACATTTTTATTTGCCCAGAATGTCTGTCAGTGGAGGTTTGGAGTAGGTAAGCACTTCAGCCTTTTGCCCTCTCCTGTGACTTAGGCATCTCACTTTTCCACATGGAACGTGCGTGTCAGAAGGTTATAGTGATCCCTAAGTGAGCTACTGCCTGATACCTTGGGAGCAGGAGCTTAGGGAATTGCTCTTCAAAACACAGCCACAGGGTGTGACCGTTTTCATTGGACTGAGCACGTAACAGCAAAAGTAACTTGTCCATTTTGCAGAGAATGCCTGAAGTTATAACAGTGCTTTTATAAACTTAAAGAGATTAAAATATTTTCTCTGAAATAATTAAATAATTACAACTCTATCGCTCTTGCATTCTGCCTTTATGCATATACTATAAATGCATTGTAATTGGATTTGAATCTCAAATTTTATGAGCCAGCCAAAGGTGAACTAACCATATAGAAAGATTCAAAATTTGTGTGAACTGATGAAAATCTTATTGAATATATTCTTTAAATAGATAAACTGTGTCCTTGATCATGGAAAGACTTATGCAAACACTTACTTCTGGCATTTGGATTAAAGGTAGCTTATGTTCATCAGGCTAGTAAGGTGCATTCATCTGCCTATGAAAGATCTGAACCTAAAGCACCCAATATCTGTTGTTCAGTTCCTTTCTGTATTCCTTTCTTTATTAAATTATTCATAGTTTCAATATGTAGAGATAAAAATAATAGCATTTTCTTTGTGCATATCAAATTATTCCACACTCCTAAAGATTTTATAAGCTCATTGTTTTTAAAAAAAAGTTTGTGTAAACAAATTAAGTTAAGAAACAAGTGGTGTGGTCTGTCATGTAAATGAAATTGCTACACTAGCCACCACATTATCTGGCCAACATTTTAAAAGATAGATTCTTGTAAGTAAGTACTTAAATCCAAATTTAAAAAATTATCTGATTTTCCACTGTGGTGAAGACTCAGCAGAAACACTCAGGAGTTGGCATCTCAGTGATAGCATTTAGTAGCTGGCTGGGTCGAGACCCATTTTCAGCTCAATTCCCTTAAAAACCACATATTTCTTTCTCACTTCCTGTTTGATGATTCAGCCACTGTAGATTATTCAGGGCAGCATCAGGAGCTGGCTTATATTCATGATTAATAAAACGAACTCTTGCTTCTGCCATGTGTTAGTTTTGATGTTCAGTAATAGAAACTATCCATTATTCCTTTTGTGAATGGTATCCTACGAAAAATATTTTTAAGCACTTTCTCACTCAGAGGCTGTATAAAAGCGCAACTGTACTTTTTGATGTGTTCATAACAAATCAGTCTTTAAAAATCTGTCCCTTTAATATTGGAAATGATTGTAGAAAATGAAAAGGAAACCCAACCAAGTCTTCCAAAGGCTAGTAGTTCTCCTGGGACCTCCACATAATACAGTTTCTTGAGACCTAAAATTGTGTTCCAACCCCAGATATTTAGTGTATAAATCACCCAGGCAAGTAATATTTACATGGCACATAAATTGTGTCACTGTTAAGCTTGCAATGGTAGCATGACTGTTGTTTGAAATTGTCTCATAGACAGTTTGTCAGCATACTTGAAAACAGGTGATAGGTGTTGTCTGTACTGATAAAATTCACCTACCCATTTTAATAGTATGTATTGACAGAAATGGGTTTCAAGGAGCCTTCTGATATGGACAGAGTAACTTAAAAAAAAGTATGAGTGGC